ATGTTTTCCACTATGGGGCTATCCCATTTGGACTGTTTGCAGTCATTTGGAAAAGTTGGTCGAGGGTGTGAGTTGACAAGAGTGACCCACTGACCAGCTCTTTCCGCAAATTTGGGATCATGAATCCCAATGGAGCCTCTTAGGTATTCCGGTAGTATTTCCTTAACTAATTCACCTGTAGCACTGGATGAGGATATGAATGCCAGCAATGTGTCGCCTTGCGAATACCTATAACCCCGAGTCTAACTGGGAGCGTTGCTTGGCCCCATTAGTCATCTTGCAGGGAGAGGTTTACCACTTTCACGGTTATTGACCTTAGGAGTGAGACATTCCGTTAATTTTGGGCTGTCGAAGGAGGGAGCACACCTTAGGAAATAGGTCAGTCTGGGCAAAGCCAGGCATCTTGTAAGAAGGTACAAAGCATCATTGGCATTCAAAGCCCCTCTTCTTCCCTTCATCCTCCTCAGGTCGTTCAGCTTTTCCTCGAGGATTACCTCAATGTCGCTCGAGTCCAGAGGAGCCTTGGCAGTACACTGTCGGTGGGCGCGATCACTGGGGATCCTGGCAATATGATTCGTACTGCATCTATGATTGGTTGGGTAGATGAGATGATTTCACACTTTGAGGGGTTTAGAGTGAGTCATAACTCCTCTCCCTTAGATTTCACTAGCTGTAGATCTTCTAACATTGACTCCTGTGTCCCTGCTAGGGTGCCATCTTCCAGGAACCAGATGTTGAGTTTGCTGGTGAACCTGCTTGTGACCTCTTTAACGGCCATGCAAAAAAGGAAAGGGGCAAGCGGGTCTCCCTGCTGGACATCTTCTGCGGAAACAACTCCATGTTCCCCAAACAGCAGCGTCGATTCCCTAATGTACCTTGCTGAAACAAAGAGGAGTAGACAAGGGAAGCTTGTTCGAACTGCTTCCAGTACCACATCCATTTTTACCTGGTTGAATGCATATTTAAAGTCTAATTTAATTAATGCCTTATTTTCTGGGAGGTGCTTAATATAGGCTCGCGCTGCATGAGCTGCTGCTTCACAGCCATGGGGGACACCAAAACCAAGTTGATGCGGTCGAAGCATCGTTGTAGCGTCTATGCTAATTTTTCTGACAGCTGCCCTAGCCACAAGACGCCGAAGTGTGTTACCCACGGCAATGGGTCTGACTCCACCATCCTTCTTCTTAAGGGCACAAAGGGATGCTCCAAAGACGAAGGGTTTAATTGTATCTGGGATCAACCCAGAGAGGCAGTCGTTGACAAACTTCGTGACCTCTGACAGTAGTGTCTCTGCATCTTCTCCGAGAACTGGGTTTACCATCTCCTTGAGGTGCTGAAGTCTTACTCCAGTGTATCCCCCTGCTGAGCCTGGCGGAAATGACATGATGGCCTTGTATACCTCTGACGCTTGGAGGAATAGAGGTCCCATGTCCGGGACATTTGTATCCCTAGCAGTGGGTTCCCACGGTACTCTGCAAGGGTGCTTCTCTCTCAGTGTGTCAGCGGTAGAGGGATTTCTAGGGGCGATTGAATCTTTGTTGGTAAGTAACCTAATTGCTCCTACTGTGTTGCCCTCTTAAATTTTCTTGGTCACTTGTGTTCCTAGTTTAAAACTGTCATTGGAACTCTTCGGTCTGCCACGGTGGTTTTTGCGTTGAGGAGGGATGGGGATCAAGTTCTCAGCTCTGGGGAAATTATTTATTGCCCTAGTGACTGATGAGGCTAGTGACTTGCCTCCTCTTGCAGGTACGCCTAAGCAAATATTGCCAAACAGGAGCAAATTATGCCATGCTTTGATGGTGGCTGCAGCATTAAGATTTTCAGACCGTTCATTCACTTTCCTTAGAAGGTCTGTATATTTCCCTGCTGCAAATGGGCGCGCTGCTTTAGGAATGTGGGGAAGAGTTCTGGTGGTGGATGCTTTGATGGCCCCCAGGAGGTCATCTGATGACATGAAGTTTGCTGGAATGTGTGGGGGTGCCGGGGGGACCTGTGGGCCTTCTCTCTCTACAGGTACCGTCCATGAACCCTCACATTTGTGTTAACGTAGGGTTCCATCGTTTCTAATGCATTGAGATTCGTCACACACCCGACACGTTCCTCTGGGTCTGGGTCCTCTGGTTGCACGTCTGGATGCACTGTTCCCAGGACCCTGTTCTTGGCTGAGGGGTTCCTACTTAGTTGGACGAGTTGAGACATCGGCCGGTGTGGGAGGGTGGACAAGGTTGTTGTCAGCAGGGGTGGCTAGCTGTCCCTCGCACTCACCACTCGTATGAGTACTTGTGTCTCCCTCCCTCTTGGGAGGAACCTGAATGCCTGCTGTGACCTGTGCCATATCTGGGTGCATGGAGGGTAACACATCTCTGCAACAAGCACTGTGTGGGCGGTGGGTGGGAGACGCCCAGGCGCAGGGTGGGGTGGCAGGAGGTACAGTGTTGCGGTGAGGCCGGCGGGCGGGGAGGAGAGTGGGAGTTGACCGGCCTCGCTCGGCTTGATGGAGAGGGGGGAGGGGGGGAGGTTGACACTTAAACACTGGTATAATTTTCTTTATATCACTGCACAATGGTGAATGAATAATACACTTGTAGTCTGACACACTGTGAGCTCTATTAGCTCTGACCATGATTGCTGATTTTTATTTTTATTTCCCAAACATATTTCTATAAACACTAGGTGGCACATTGATGACCCCCTCGCCTGACCGAACAACAACACCCCCTCCTCCCCACACCTTAGATGTGGGAGGCCTAAAGGGCGCCACCGTGGCCCTCACTGCCATTGTATTCCATACACTGCCAACCCACCTGTTCGATCCGTTTTTGTTGAGATGGTCCACTCTAGGCACTTGCCGCCACTCCTGCACCTTCCCAGGACATTCACACAGCACTTTGTGAAGGCTAGGCACGGTGACGCCAGGATGTCCCTAGGTAATGGCTCAGTAAACAGCAGAGCCTCCTCCACGCGTCCTTCCGCTCTGGGCCGCTCAGCCTCATATATTTACATATATTTATTCATTTATATATGTTGTACCTAGTAGCCAGAATGCAGTACTTAGCCTACTATGCAAGGCGCGATTTGCCTTATAAGCCAAGGTTTCCTGAATTTATATATATTTTTTTCTTTTGAAATGATAATACTATCCATTTCAATCCTAACCTAAACTATCACAACTAAGTAAATAACTTATGTTCTAATTATAATATAATATAATAATAATAATTCAAATATACTAATTGGAAACAGTTTATTGAAAATAAAGAAAATCACTCGGCCGATTAGGGAAATCGGGCTTTGCATAGTAGGCCGAGAAGTGCGTTCTGGCTACTAGGTACGACATTATATATATAATTATTATCTAATAATAATTAGACAGTCAAAAATTATTATCTAAACAGGAGAATGAGTTGGAATAATGTCTCTTCATTTACTTTACACTGTATTGCTCATTCAATAGTAAGTCATTCTATTGTTGTTTCCTCCACGTATTTCCTTACGTTCATCAGCATTAAAAATCTTCTGGTAATCATCAGAGCAACAAACTAATATGCTGAAGTTGGATTGTAATCCATGTTGTTGTTGTAATTGTGCTGCCTAGTTTATTATCATCAACAAAGCTTTAATTCTGTGCAGCATAACTGGATATCACAGTCATTAAATGTTCAGATGTTCAGGTGGTGTAAAACTTGCCCCATTGACATTCCACTTGTTATGTCTTGCCATTTGAAAGCTTTTTAATATGGAAACCCATATTGGTATTGAACCTGATACAATGTTTTGTAACTATTTATTATCTATCAATGCCATGTAAATATATATTTAAAAGAAGTCATAGATAAGGAATTATGCGTCATATATTTTTTAAAATCTCTATTTGTTGTTTCAACTACCATGCTTTCATCTGGTAAATAAAAACATATAAACATATCCCCCCCTCCCCAAAAAAATAATTAATATGAATTCATGTAGTCTCTAACTTGACAGTGGTACTGTAATTGCTTAACCAAGTAGTCTCAGGTAATTGGGTCCATTAGCCGAGCTTCAGGTAATTGGTTCCATTAGTCTACTAATTACCTACATGATGCTCACCAACAAATTGTCCTCTGACCTAATAAATCGTAGTAATAACGGAATCAACCAATTCAGTAATAATTACTTGGTTTTAGTAAAAACTGAAGTGATGTAATATTGACGTCTCCTGGGCGTCGGCTTTAATAGATTAACTGGGTTGCTAATTGGGTTATTAGAGTGGCAGCTAATTGCAGTAAGAAACCTTCACTTTTTTAATTGGTTCATTTACAAATTTCTACTCATGAGGAATAGTTCATGTTTCGAGTTACTTCTTCTTAAACATTTTGAAAGGAATAATGATTTTCATTTTAACTTCCTTTAATATGTATCTGGAAAACAATGATCATGGTCAGCTGCTATATTTTACAAATGGTAACACGTGGAAGAACGTTATTTAAGGAATGTTAAATAGAATTAAAATTGTACATAAATTACCCTTAACTTTTTTAAAGGAAATTTAAAAACTCAACAATAAGAATAAAAAACAGTCCTAAGTACATAGGTGCTAATTAAGAGAGAGACTGTTCTGCTTTATATATATGGCAAGATAAATAATTTATGTTCTTGTAATTTAGTATAATCTGTTCCTAAGAGGAAAAATATATTTGTGATTTATATTAAAAGGATATGGCGAACACATTTTTATTATTATGTAATGTAAATTCTTTAGGAGGGACTGTCTTTATTCCGTCTAAACCAAGGAATATTTCATGGCTTAGACGGATTTTATACAAACCATTTTTCATAAATGTTCACATACAAATTCATTTGTAACAGATGTAGTAGATTTCGCTTGTAATTCAAAATCTCTTTCTCTCTCTCTGTTTCTCTCTCTCGTTTTCTCTCTCTCTCTTTCTCTGCCATCTTTTCGTATTATTACATACAATTATTATAACTCACCGGTACACTCACATATAATGTTTCTTCCTCAGCTACGACTCGAGAGGGCGTGAGGGAAACATGAGGGCTGGAGGTCGACCTCAGCAGTGGGGGGACGAGGAGGCGTGGGGTATAGAGCAGAGGGCGTGGTTTGACACGTCAACCACGCCAGCTCATCTGCTGGTGAGGGACGTGCGAGGCCGGGACGAAGGTAACTACCGGTGCAAGGTGCACTTCAAGGCCTCTCCCTCCTGGACCCAGAGCATCACGCTAAACATCAAAGGTGGGTGATAAGGCGGCCTTGCTCTGTGTGTGTGTGTACTCACCTAGTTGTACTCACCTAGTTGTGTTTGCGGGGGTTGAGCTCTGGCTCTTTGGTCCCGCCTCTCAACCGTCAACCTCAACCGTGTGTGTGTGTGTGTGTGTGTGTGTGTGTGTGTGTGTGTGTGTGTGTGTGTGTGTGTGTGTGTGTGTGTGTGTGTGTGTACTCACCTATTTGCTTATTTGTGCTTGCAGGGGTTGAGCTTTGGCTCTTTGGTCCCGCCTCCCAACCGTCAATCAACTGGTGTACAGGTTCCTGAGCCTACTGGACTCTATCAGATATTCATTTAAAACTCTGTATGCAGTCTGCCTCCACCACATCATTGCCTAATGTATTCCACCTGTTAACTGCTCTGACACTGAAAACGTTCTTTCTAACGTCCCTGTGGCTCATTTGGATACTCAGTTTCAACCTGTGTCCCCTTGTTCGTGTACCACCAGTGTTAAACAGTTTATCCTTGTCTACCCTGTCAATTCCCCTAAGGATTTTGTTGGTAGTGATCATGTCTCCCCTTACTCTTCTGTCTTGCAGTGTCGTGAGGTGCATTTCCCGCAGCCTTTCCTCGTAACTCATGCCTCTTAGTTCTGGGACTAGTCTAGTGGCATACCTCTGAACTTTTTCCCAGCTTCGTTTTGTGCTTGACAAGGTACGGGCTTCATACTAGGGCCGCATACTCCAGGATTGGTCTTACATATGTGGTATACAAGGTTCTGAATGATTCCTATAACTTTTGTGTATTCCTTGTGTGTGTGTGTGTGTGTGTGTGTGTGTGTGTGTGTGTGTGTGTGTGTGTGTGTGTGTGTGTGTGTGTGTGTGTGTGCGTGTGTGTGTGTGTGTGTGCACGCGCGTGTGTGTGTGTGTGTGTGTGTGTGTGTTTTAGAGCTGGGGTGCTCTGGATCCCCCCTTTTTTATGTTGTCTGTCCTTTGATGAAATGGTTTTCAATCGTTTTGAAAACTTTTGTAATGCAAGTCTTTTAAAAACAGTCGTTGGTTCCCCTCACTACCCTCGAGCTAACAAAACTCGTCTTTACATGCCAATTGCTAACCTGAGCAGGTAATTTCCACTATTTCTTTCTTGAATTCTTATTATAAAAAATATATTTTCGGCCATTCCTGTAAGTATCTTGTATGTTGTTATCATGGCACTGATTTCTTCACACGATGTGTCTGAACTTACTAAAAGTCTGTTTTTGGAATGTGAAAGTGTTTTCCACTAATTCACCATTAAAACCAATCCCATCGGTCCAAACTTGAAGCCAATATTTAGGTAACTGACGAAGAGAAGCCGAAATTTATAGTGCTTCTATATTTGCCACAAGACCTTAGTTCCTTGGACGTTTATAGGCACCAGTAAAGTCAAATGGAACAATTCGGCAACAAACTGGTCGCGAATTTTATGAATAGATGAAGCAACAGGTGGAGAGGCTCAGGCGAATACAGTGAGTGAGAGGCAGAAGTGCACTTGTGATTTCACATGATATACCAAATTACCAAATGATAGTGACAACATAGCATTTTGAATCGAGATTATTAGTGGTGATTGAGAGTATGGATGCGAGTTTGTATTTTATGTATTGTATTACTGTATGTTTGAATGCCAGGGCTTGGGAAATAGCTGTCGACCATGAAGGTTCATTTAGGTGGTAAGGTAGCTGCACTTATTCCAACGGAAGCTGTGCCTGAATTAACTGACTTAATTAGCTTAAATAATTTTGCAATTAACCAGGTAAAGGTTGGGCTGAGAACACATGTGGTATTGAGCAACAAATTTAATACTTTTCTTTACAAACTTCAAAATATATTCTAGTGACGTGTAAAATTTGATTTTTTCTTCAAAATAATTAACAGCAATTCAATTAATTATAATAAAATATATATTAAAATAATTAGAAATATGGGGATTAATTATAATTAAAAAAATGGTAATGAATATAAACTGAGGGAGATGTACCGTGCCTCTAGATATACATGTACTGAAGACTGGCTGTGGTCAAGACCAAGCACCTGGTGCTGGTGGGCCCAGCGGGTAGATGTGTGGGGTTAGTACCGGGCCACCAGATGACCTGCTCAACCAACATCCACTCAAACAACTGTTAACGCCACCATCTACACCACCACCTCCAACAACAACAATAACTAGGGCGTGTGCGTGGGAACACCCATCTCATGGGTTCGAACCCTCATCACGTCTCCGAAATGTTCTCAACAAAAACAATGATATAAGCTGTCATTACCACCACCACCACCAACAACAGTAATTTAAGGTGTCCTTACCACCAGAAACAACAACAATAATTTAAGCTGTCATCACCACCTCCACCACCAACAACAATTAATTAAGCTGTCATTACCACCACCACCAACAATAATTTAAGCTGTCATTACCACCACCACCACCAACAATAATTTAAGCTGTCATTACTACCACCACCACCAACAATAAATTAAGCTGTCATTACCACCATCATCAACAACAATAAATTAAGCTGTCATTACCACCATCACCACCACCAACAATAAATTAAGCTGTCATTACCACCATCATCAACAACAATAATTTAAGCTGTCATTACCACCACCACCACCAACAATAAATTAAGCTGTCATTACCACCATCATCAACAACAATAATTTAAGCTGTCATTACCACCACCACCACCAACAATAAATTAAGCTGTCATTACCACCATCATCAACAACAATAATTTAAGCTGTCATTACCACCACCACCACCAACAATAAATTAAGCTGTCATTACCACCATCATCAACAACAATAATTTAAGCTGCCATTACCACCATCACCACCACCAACAACAACAATAATTTAAGCTGCCATTACCACCATCACCACCACCACCAACAACAATAACAATAATTTAAGCTGTCATTACCACCATCACCACCAACAACAATAACAATAATTTAAGCTGCCATTACCACCATCACCACCACCAACAACAACAATAATTTAAGCTGCCATTACCACCATCACCACCACCACCAACAACAATAACAATAATTTAAGCTGTCATTACCACCATCACCACCAACAACAATAACAATAATTTAAGCTGCCATTACCACCACCAACAATGACCTAAGCTCGGGGTAATACTCCTCCCCCACAGATCCCCCGGGGTTCCCCAGGATTCAGGACGAGTCTGGCCGGAGACTGGAAGGTCCTATCGGTCCTTACGAGGATGGCTCCACTGTCAGGATGATGTGTCTCAGCTCTGGAGGTAAGTGAGGGCCGATGTTTCTCAGCTCACGATGTAGAAAAGAGCAATGTGTCTCAGCTCGGGATGGTGTAGATCTGTATGTCTGTCTATGAGGTAAGTGGTTGCCAAAGGAGATAACTGCACCTGCAGGTACGTACCCTGTATGAGGGGGGGGGGACTGGGAATCAATCTAGGACCCCAAACGAGGCCAGGTGGAGAGTCTGTTGCCGCTGTGCAACACCTCAGTGAAGGGTGTTGCCTCTCGAGAACACTGTACCGTACCTTCAGTAGCCAACGAGACCCTTGTACGTTATAATAGTAGCTAACTAGTGGGGCAGGTACGTGACTACTGCTACTACCTGCTCGATACTGACCGGATAGCCAACTGCAGGACACTGTCGTACCGTACTTATGAGGATGCTACCTGCATATTGTCGTACTGTACTAAGGAGGAAGCCACCTGAATATTGTCGTACTGTACTTAGGAGGAAGCCACCTGAATATTGTCGTACTGTACTTAGGAGGAAGCCACCTGAATATTGTCGTACTGTACTAAGGAGGAAGCCACCTGAATATTGTCGTACTGTACTTAGGAGGAAGCCACCTGAATATTGTCGTACTGTACTTAGGAGGAAGCCACCTGAATATTGTCGTACTGTACTAAGGAGGAAGCCACCTGAATATTGTCGTACCGTACTTAGGTGAAAGCCACCTGAATATTGTCGTACTGTACTTAGGAGGAAGCCACCTGAATATTGTCGTACCGTACTTAGGTGAAAGCCACCTGAATATTGTCGTACTGTATTTAGGTGGAAGCCATCTGAATATTGTCGTACTGTACTTAGGAGGAAGCCACCTGAATATTGTCGTACCGTACTTAGGAGGAAGCCACCTGAATATTGTCGTACCGTACTTAGGAGGAAGCCACCTGAATATTGTCGTAATGTACTTAGGTGGAAGCCATCTGAATATTGTCGTACTGTACTTAGGAGGAAGCCACCTGAATATTGTCGTACCGTACTTAGGTGGAAGCCATCTGAATATTGTCGTACCGTACTTAGGTGAAAGCCACCTGAATATTGTCGTACTGTACTTAGGAGGAAGCCACCTGAATATTGTCGTACCGTACTTAGGTGGAAGCCACCTGAATATTGTCGTACCGTACTTAGGAGGAAGCCCCCTGAATATTGTCGTACCGTACTTAGGTGGAAGCCATCTGAATATTGTCGTACCGTACTTAGGTGAAAGCCACCTGAATATTGTCGTACCGTACTTAGGAGGAAGCCACCTGAATATTGTCGTACCGTACTTAGGTGGAAGCCATCTGAATATTGTCGTACCGTACTTAGGTGAAAGCCACCTGAATATTGTCGTACCGTACCTAGGTGAAAGCCACCTGAATATTGTCGTACCGTACTTAGGTGAAAGCCACCTGAATATTGTCGTACCGTATTTAGTGGGAAGCCACCTGAATATCGTACTTGAGGGCTATATACGTGGGTCTTGCGACACGGAAAAGTGGCTGAAGACCGTGCCATGACACTGAATAGTGACTGTGGGCCGTGCCATAACACGGAACAGTGACGGTGGACCGTGCCATGACACGAAACAGCGACCGTAAACCGTGTAATGCCACGGAACAGTGACTCTGGACCGTGCCATGACACGGAACAGCGACCGTGGACCGTGCCATGACACGGAACAGCGACCGTGGACCGTGCCATGACCCGGAACATTGACCGTGAACCGTGCCATGACACGGAACAGCGACCGTGGACCGTGCAATGACACGGAACAGTGACTGTGGTCCGTGTCATGACACGGAACAGTGACTGTGGTCCGTGTCATGACACGGAACAGTGACTGTGGTCCGTGTCATGACACAGAACAGTGACCGTGGACCGTGCCATGACACGGAACAGTGACCGTGGAATGACACGGAACAGTGACCGTGGAATGACACGGAACAGCGACCGTGGACCGTGCCATGACACGGAACAGCGACCGTGGACCGTGCCATAACACTGAACAGTGACTGTGGATCGTGCCATGACACGGAACAGTGACTGTGGACCGTGCCATGACACGAAACAGTGACTGTGGACCGTGCCATGACACGGAACAGTGACCGTGGTCCGTGCCATGACACGGAACAGTGACTGTTATTATAGATTGGGTTGGTGGTGTTGTCGTCGTGTTCCTCCTTTACGGACAACCCAACCCACAACTCGGTAGAGTGCTTATACCTCACTAGGAGATCACACTAGGCGCTTCTGGCTCTTGGAGAGGGGCTCAACGTCACACGTTTAGGGGATGCGGCTCCAACACTCAGCCTCGTTGTCACATGCACACACCCACTCGAGCCGCTGTGACTCCCCACTCTCTCCTTAGTTGATATGATCTCAATCCCCTTTGACTTATTGGTTTTCCGTCCTACCCTGTCCACAGCAGTGGTTCTTGGTACTTTCTCTCTCTCTTTACTATTTCCTGGGAAGGCTCACTAGGACAAGGGCAAACACCGGCAAATTGGAATACATTTACTGGACAAAGCACATACACAATACATACACACATATAATAATAATGAATCCTATACTCTATACTATTACAATCAGGTTGCACTCCAACACCATCAGAACTCTATCATCAGCTTATCAAGTGGTATCCTATCTCCTGGTTCACCACCTGATACCATCAACCTCCTCAAGTAGATCAAGTCTACATACACTGTTGCACTATCAGCAAGAGAATATATATATCTCTGAACATGTACAAGGAAAATCAACATATGATTGCAATAACATAAATATATCAGTATAAATGTTCCTTGATACACAACAATGATCAGTCGATCACTCTATCAGTCCTAGAACGCATACAACTGTAGGTAATCCAGCCTACGACTGTAACTCTAAACTTCAGTATAAAACACTCCTTGACATAAGAATGCAAACAATCACCCACCTCTCACTGCGTCTTGCACGCTAATGACAACTAAACACCCGATTACCTCCCTACAAGTAATCATTTAGAACCTCCCTTCCACATCTGGAAGTTCACTACCCTGATATCTTCAGGTTCTTCCGGGTTTGACTACCAGGATCCTCTGCAGCTCCTCCAGGCTGCTACCATGAAGTAAGTAATTATCAAAAGAAGGCACCAAACCGGGAAGGCTATGAAGCACCATCAAATGCGCAGAATAATCAAAGGGCGCTAAATATCACCAAGGATGCCAATACGAGAACAAAAACGCATAACGCGAAAGATATCAAAAGTATCCGAGTCACCAAGAATTCTATTGAGGGACAAGTGACCGCGAGGGGCGGTCGGAAAGCAAGACACACTCTCGTCCTGGAAGTCAGGACATTCAAGAAGGACATGCACGACCGTAAGAGGAACAATGCAACTAGGAAAATAAGGAGCAGGGCGGCGCTCCATCAAGTGACCATGGGTGAAGCGAGTATGGCCAATACGCAACCTCGCCAGAGCTGTTTCCCATCGCCGGTTACGGTGGTAGGAGGACGGCCACGAGGAAACACAACATTTAAGAGTACGTAGTTTGTTACCAGTAACTGACAACCAAGAAGCCTGCCAACGGGTAAGGACGAAGGAATGGATATCCGGGTAAAAGTCGGAATACGGAATACCTTTACGAGAGATGGGACAAGAGCGGACAGCTTCCCTGGCGGCAGCATCCGCACGCTCATTTAAAGACACACCAATATGGCTGGGAACCCAACAAAACTCAACCGACTTAAATTTACTGTGAACAAGAAACAGCCAATGCTGGATCTCGACAACTACTGGATGAACCGGATTAAAGGACCTGAGAGCCATGAGGGCACTACGAGAGTCAACAACAACTACAAAGGAAGACTGACAACGAGAAAGCAGGAGACGAAGAGCATAGAGAATAGCATAAAGTTCCGCTGTAAAGATGCTAGTCTCCGGAAGTAAGCGACACATATAAGTGCGATCAGGAAAAACAACAGAGTAGCCAGCACCGTCCGCAGACTTAGACCCAACGGTGAAGACAGAAACGGAGCGTGAGTGAGAAGAAAAGTGCTCAAGGAAAAGGCGTTTTAGAACCGTAGGAGGGGTAAAAGCTTTAGTGATACGGGTCAAGGAAGTACAAAACCGCGGAAGAGGGACTCTCCATGGGGGCAAAGAAGGAACAACACAAGGAGAAACATTAGATATACGAACGGAAAGAGAATCCTGGAGGCGAGATAACCGGACAGAAAGAGGGAGGTGGTGAAGAGGAACAGGAACTACAGGAGGGGTAAAAGTTAAAGCACGACAGAGGCGAGAGGAAGGATGTTGTAAGGACCGTGCAAGATAGCAAAGACAGTAGCGATCACGGCGGTCCTGGAGAGACAGGAAGCCAGTATCAACATACAAGCTAAGGACGGGAGTCAAACGAAAGGCACCAGAACTGAAGCGCAACCCAGTATGGTGCAAAGCATCAAGACGACGAAGAGTAGAAAGAGAAGCAGACAAGTAAGCAGGGCAACCATAATCGAGCTTAGACAGGACGAGAGAGGAATGTAAAGCAAGGAGAGTGCGCCTATCTGCCCCCCAAGAAGTATGGGACAAGACCCGAAGGAGGGTAAGGGCCTTAGAGCACTCAACACGGAGGTAAGAGATATGGGGAGACCAAGACAAACGAGTGTCAAGGAATAACCCCAAAAGCTTCGCGGAATCTTTGTATTCAAGGGGATGACCATAAAGTGACAAAGAGGGACGAAGAACGACCCGTTTCCGCGTAAAAGTCATGGCACAAGTCTTAGAAGTAGAGAACTTGAAGCCATGATCGGTGGCCCAAGACGACACGGCATCAATTGCAAGTTGAAGCCAGCGCTAAAGGAGAGGCGAATCATCACCCTGACAGCAAAGGGTAAGATCATTGACATAGAGAGCGGAGAAGACACCAGAAGGAAGAGAGGAAAGAAGACCATTGAGGGCAACCAGAAAAAGAGTAGTGCTCAGAACACTACCCTGGGGCACACCTTCGTATTGCTGAAAAGAGGCAGAGAGAGCGGTACCAAGGCGCGCCCGAAAGGAACGACGAGAGAGGAAGATGCGGAGAAAGAGAGGGAGATGACCACAAAGGCCAAAAGAATGAAGTTGAGATAGAATATGATATCGCCAAGTGGTGTCGTAAGCCTTTTCCAGGTCAAAAAGGACGGCAACAACGGAGGTCTTCGCAGCAAAAGCAGTCCGAATATAGACCTCCAAGTTCACCAGGACATCTGTCGTGCTGCGGCACTTGCGGAAACTAAATTGAGAAGGGGAGAGGAGGTGATGGTGTTCCAGGAACCACATCAGACGAACGTTAACAATACGTTCAAAGAGTTTGCAGACACAACTTGTGAGAGCAATAGGGCGAAAGTCCTTAGGGGAAGTACCCAGAGACCCCGGTTTGCGAACAGGGGTGACAACGGCATCGAGCCAGTCCTCAGGGACTGACGACGACTCCCAGATCCGATTATACAGACTCAGTAAATTCTGAGACGTGCACGGAGGGAGATGGCAAAGCATCTCATAATGAATACCATCGGAGCCCACCGCCGTAGAACCGCAGAGGGCCAGGGCAGAACGAAGTTCAGAGAGAGAGAAGGGATCATTATAGGGAAGCTGAAGACAAGTGCCGAAATCTATAGGACGAGACTTAAGGACAGGTTTACGAAGAAGGAAAGATTGGGGAAGATGAAGACCAGAGCTAACAGAAGAAAAGTGGGAACCCAGTTCGGAAGCGACCTGCAACGGGTCCGCCACAAGAGAATCATGGAGGTGAAGGACCGGTGAAACATCGGGAACGAACTTACTCGCTATCTTGTGGATACGCTTCCAGATCTGGGGCAGAGGAGTTTCGGACGTAATTGTTGAGACATAAGATGCCCAACATTCACGTTTAGCCGTACGGATGGCCCTACGGGCCACCGCACTCGCTTCCCGAAAGAAAAGAAAAGAATCGGCCGTCTTGCGACGGCGGTGCCTCATCCAGGCTGCACGCTTACAGCGGACAGCCCGAGCACAGTCCGCATTCCACCAGGGAACGCACTTCCGTGGACCCTGAAAGGAAGAGCGAGGAATAGAGTGGAGGGCAGTGTCGAAGACAGTGTCATGAAAAAGGAGGAGAGCGCGAGGGAGAGGCAGAAAGGAGAGATCAGAGAGAGCAGCACTGAGGGTAAATAGGTTCCAGTCCGTGCTACTATGAAGTTTCCTTGAGCAACTACGGTGCTTCACCCTTCTGCTAGGTTCCTCCACAGCTCTCTGGGCTGCTACACCATGAAGTTCCCTCGAGCAACTATGGTGCTTCACAACCTCTACAGAAGCACGTGACACTCCTCTTCACTGCTTCTCCTAACAGCTCGAGGTTCTACTCCTCCACTACCTTGGAGTCTCATCAACTACTCCCTCTGTGCTGACTTCGAAGTTCTCAACAACTTCTTCCCCAAAGACAAACCTGCAACCCATCGACACTCCAATAAAAATGTTTCCCCTTTAACACATAAACAAAAATAATCACACAATATGTTTACCTCAAACTTCTATCTGTCCTCTACATACTGTGAGAGTGGATTCCCCCATTGGGCGGGTCCATGCTCCACCTCGCCCGGCGGGCCTCCACACTCTCCTCCGCCGCCCCTCAGTCAGTTGGCTCCAAGCGGTCGAAGGGAGAGGATGCGCTGCTCGTCCCTCCAGCTGTCTCTCTCATCTCCGTCCTCTTATTTAGGCTTCCTGCTTAACCAAAACATTTCTAACTCATCAATAAACATTGCTACTGTCGCTGGGCACACGACCAACTACAAGCAATCACTATGAACTGGCTTAAATCGTGCTTACCACAGATTGTCTCGTCGAGGGCGCTATCCCTCTGACGGCGTCTGGTCAGGGCGCTCCACACAGCCCACGTAAAATGTCTCTGGGCGGTTTAATACTCTCCTCGCCGTCCAGGACTTGAGACCACAACGTTCCCAGCTCGACTCTACAGCTGGCACGTGTGCACACTTCTCTTCTCTTGGAGATATATCACTAGGGGTTCCTTTCTGACGGGAGCTCAAACGGAGCTCGGCTTTCCCCTGCGATGTCTGGCGCTCAAGTGAGGTCAAAGCCCTCCAGAAGCGAGCCTCACACCTCCAGCAAAATATCCACATCCCCTAACCAGTCATTTATCTGTTTTCTTCTTCACTGCCCATAATCTCAAATTGTTATTTAAATCCAACCAACTATTTTACATATGTGTTATCACCTCCATATTTCCTATACTTTCTAGTTAGGTCAGGCTTGTTGAATAACTCTCAAGGGGGAGACTCGTTTCTCTTATAGGCTGAGATCATAACACTGTGGACCGTGCCATGACATGGAACAGTGACCGTGGTCCGTGCAATGACACGGAACAGTGACTGTGGACTGTGCCATGACACGGAACAGTGACTGTGGACCATGCAATGACACGGAACAGTGACCGTGGACCATGCCATGACACGGAACAGTGACTGTAGACCGTGCCATGACACGGAACAGTGACCGTGGACCGTGCCATGACACGGAACAGTGAACGTGGACCGTGCCATAACAAGGAAAAGTGACTTTGGACCGTGCAATGACACGGACAGCGACCGTGGACCGTGCCATGACACGGAACAGCGATCGTGGACCGTGCCATGACACGGAACAGCGACCGTGGACCGTGCAATGACACGAAACACTGACCGTGGACCGTTCCATGACACGGAACAGTGACCGAGGGCCATGGCACGTGTTGGCACGCATCACACCAACCAGGGACGCGAGTTCCTGAATATTTTAATGCGGGTAAAAGCTTGTAGAGGCAGTTAAGCACTCCGGCCAGGATCACAGGGCACCCGCCTGGAGGTGAAGGATAGGGGTTAGTGTCGCTCCACTTGTTAAGTGTCCCTCGTCCATGACACAGACGCTAATTACCCGAGTAGGGGATAGTGAAGCCTTGCTGAAGTAATTAATATGAGGGTGAATACAATTGATATTGATGATAATGACGGCACAGATACTGAGTATTATTTTAAAATTGACGAAGAAAATGTTAATATTGATAAAATTTGACTTATAATAAAACATGATTAGTTGTATAAACAAAGTTAATGGTAATAATAATATTATTATATTAACATTCATTATATAAATATTAAAACCTGCATATTCCTCATTCATTTTGAAATATATTATATACACTTGTAAGAAATACGTGTATAAGAAATAAAACTATATCCAAGGTTATTAATTGTGAGCTGTTGCTCCTGGTGACCTGAAGATTCTTACCACTGTGTGAGGAATAGGTCTAAGGGATGTGGGCTGTGACTAAGGCTACTTTAAACATTGAATTATTGTAAAAAAGTATTAATAATTAAAATTAATGTGATTTAGGGTATAATATGGGGCAGTCTGTTGACAGCCGTAAAAACTGAAATATATATATATATATATATATATATATATATATATATATATATATATATATATATATATATATATATATATATATATATATATATATATATATATATATATATATATACATATATATATATGTATATATATATATATATATATATATATATATATATATATATATATATATATGCGAACAAGCCTGAATGGTCCCCAGGACAATATGCAACTGAAAACTCACACCCCAGAAGTGACTCGAACCCATACTCCCAGATGCCACGCAACTGGTATGTACAAGACGCCTTAATCCACTTGACCATCACGACCGGACAAAATGAGGTGATAGCCGAGGCTATTTGAACCACCCCACCGCCGGCACTCGGATAGTAATCTTGGGCATAGCATTTTACCAAATCACCTCATTCTTTGGGGCACACGTGAGGAACACAAATGCGAACAAGCCTGAATGGTCCCCAGGACAATATGCAACTGAAAACTCACACCCCAGAAGTGACTCGAACCCATACTCCCAGATGCCACGCAACTGGTATGTACAAGACGCCTTAATCCACTTGACCATCACGACCGGACAAAATGAGGTGATAGCCGAGGCTATTTGAACCACCCCACCGCCGGCACTCGGATAGTAATCTTGGGCATAGCATTTTACCAAATCACCTCATTCTTTGGGGCACACGTGAGGAACACAAATGCGAACAAGCCTGAATGGTCCCCAGGACAATATGCAACTGAAAACTCACACCCCAGAAGTGACTCGAACCCATACTCCCAGATGCCACGCAACTGGTATGTACAAGACGCCTTAATCCACTTGACCATCACGACCGGACAAAATGAGGTGATAGCCGAGGCTATTTGAACCACCCCACCGCCGGCACTCGGATAGTAATCTTGGGCATAGCATTTTACCAAATCACCTCATTCTTTGGGGCACACGTGAGGAACACAAATGCGAACAAGCCTGAATGGTCCCCAGGACAATATGCAACTGAAAACTCACACCCCAGAAGTGACTCGAACCCATACTCCCAGATGCCACGCAACTGGTATGTACAAGACGCCTTAATCCACTTGACCATCACGACCGGACAAAATGAGGTGATAGCCGAGGCTATTTGAACCACCCCACCGCCGGCACTCGGATAGTAATCTTGGGCATAGCATTTTACCAAATCACCTCATTCTTTGGGGCACACGTGAGGAACACAAATGCGAACAAGCCTGAATGGTCCCCAGGACAATATGCAACTGAAAACTCACACCCCAGAAGTGACTCGAACCCATACTCCCAGATGCCACGCAACTGGTATGTACAAGACGCCTTAATCCACTTGACCATCACGACCGGACAAAATGAGGTGATAGCCGAGGCTATTTGAACCACCCCACCGCCGGCACTCGGATAGTAATCTTGGGCATAGCATGAGTTTTCAGTTGCATATTGTCCTGGGGACCATTCAGGCTTGTTCGCATTTGTGTTCCTCACGTGTGCCCCAAAGAATGAGGTGATTTGGTAAAATGCTATGCCCAAGATTACTATCCGAGTGCCGGCGGTGGGGTGGTTCAAATAGCCTCGGCTATCACCTCATTTTGTCCGGTCGTGATGGTCAAGTGGATTAAGGCGTCTTGTACATACCAGTTGCGTGGCATCTGGGAGTATGGGTTCGAGTCACTTCTGGGGTGTGAGTTTTCAGTTGCATATTGTCCTGGGGACCATTCAGGCTTGTTCGCATTTGTGTTCCTCACGTGTGCCCCAAAGAATGAGGTGATTTGGTAAAATGCTATGCCCAAGATTACTATCCGAGTGCCGGCGGTGGGGTGGTTCAAATAGCCTCGGCTATCACCTCATTTTGTCCGGTCGTGATGGTCAAGTGGATTAAGGCGTCTTGTACATACCAGTTGCGTGGCATCTGGGAGTATGGGTTCGAGTCACTTCTGGGGTGTGAGTTTTCAGTTGCATATTGTCCTGGGGACCATTCAGGCTTGTTCGCATTTGTGTTCCTCACGTGTGCCCCAAAGAATGAGGTGATTTGGTAAAATGCTATGCCCAAGATTACTATCCGAGTGCCGGCGGTGGGGTGGTTCAAATAGCCTCGGCTATCACCTCATTTTGTCCGGTCGTGATGGTCAAGTGGATTAAGGCGTCTTGTACATACCAGTTGCGTGGCATCTGGGAGTATGGGTTCGAGTCACTTCTGGGGTGTGAGTTTTCAGTTGCATATTGTCCTGGGGACCATTCAGGCTTGTTCGCATTTGTGTTCCTCACGTGTGCCCCAAAGAATGAGGTGATTTGGTAAAATGCTATGCCCAAGATTACTATCCGAGTGCCGGCGGTGGGGTGGTTCAAATAGCCTCGGCTATCACCTCATTTTGTCCGGTCGTGATGGTCAAGTGGATTAAGGCGTCTTGTACATACCAGTTGCGTGGCATCTGGGAGTATGGGTTCGAGTCACTTCTGGGGTGTGAGTTTTCAGTTGCATATTGTCCTGGGGACCATTCAGGCTTGTTCGCATTTGTGTTCCTCACGTGTGCCCCAAAGAATGAGGTGATTTGGTAAAATGCTATGCCCAAGATTACTATCCGAGTGCCGGCGGTGGGGTGGTTCAAATAGCCTCGGCTATCACCTCATTTTGTCCGGTCGTGATGGTCAAGTGGATTAAGGCGTCTTGTACATACCAGTTGCGTGGCATCTGGGAGTATGGGTTCGAGTCACTTCTGGGGTGTGAGTTTTCAGTTGCATATTGTCCTGGGGACCATTCAGGCTTGTTCGCATTTGTGTTCCTCACGTGTGCCCCAAAGAATGAGGTGATTTGGTAAAATGCTATGCCCAAGATTACTATCCGAGTGCCGGCGGTGGGGTGGTTCAAATAGCCTCGGCTATCACCTCATTTTGTCCGGTCGTGATGGTCAAGTGGATTAAGGCGTCTTGTACATACCAGTTGCGTGGCATCTGGGAGTATGGGTTCGAGTCACTTCTGGGGTGTGAGTTTTCAGTTGCATATTGTCCTGGGGACCATTCAGGCTTGTTCGCATTTGTGTTCCTCACGTGTGCCCCAAAGAATGAGGTGATTTGGTAAAATGCTATGCCCAAGATTACTATCCGAGTGCCGGCGGTGGGGTGGTTCAAATAGCCTCGGCTATCACCTCATTTTGTCCGGTCGTGATGGTCAAGTGGATTAAGGCGTCTTGTACATACCAGTTGCGTGGCATCTGGGAGTATGGGTTCGAGTCACTTCTGGGGTGTGAGTTTTCAGTTGCATATTGTCCTGGGGACCATTCAGGCTTGTTCGCATTTGTGTTCCTCACGTGTGCCCCAAAGAATGAGGTGATTTGGTAAAATGCTATGCCCAAGATTACTATCCGAGTGCCGGCGGTGGGGTGGTTCAAATAGCCTCGGCTATCACCTCATTTTGTCCGGTCGTGATGGTCAAGTGGATTAAGGCGTCTTGTACATACCAGTTGCGTGGCATCTGGGAGTATGGGTTCGAGTCACTTCTGGGGTGTGAGTTTTCAGTTGCATATTGTCCTGGGGACCATTCAGGCTTGTTCGCATTTGTGTTCCTCACGTGTGCCCCAAAGAATGAGGTGATTTGGTAAAATGCTATGCCCAAGATTACTATCCGAGTGCCGACGGTGGGGTGGTTCAAATAGCCTCGGCTATCACCTCATTTTGTCCGGTCGTGATGGTCAAGTGGATTAAGGCGTCTTGTACATACCAGTTGCGTGGCATCTGGGAGTATGGGTTCGAGTCACTTCTGGGGTGTGAGTTTTCAGTTGCATATTGTCCTGGGGACCATTCAGGCTTGTTCGCATTTGTGTTCCTCACGTGTGCCCCAAAGAATGAGGTGATTTGGTAAAATGCTATGCCCAAGATTACTATCCGAGTGCCGGCGGTGGGGTGGTTCAAATAGCCTCGGCTATCACCTCATTTTGTCCGGTCGTGATGGTCAAGTGGATTAAGGCGTCTTGTACATACCAGTTGCGTGGCATCTGGGAGTATGGGTTCGAGTCACTTCTGGGGTGTGAGTTTTCAGTTGCATATTGTCCTGGGGACCATTCAGGCTTGTTCGCATTTGTGTTCCTCACGTGTGCCCCAAAGAATGAGGTGATTTGGTAAAATGCTATGCCCAAGATTACTATCCGAGTGCCGGCGGTGGGGTGGTTCAAATAGCCTCGGCTATCACCTCATTTTGTCCGGTCGTGATGGTCAAGTGGATTAAGGCGTCTTGTACATACCAGTTGCGTGGCATCTGGGAGTATGGGTTCGAGTCACTTCTGGGGTGTGAGTTTTCAGTTGCATATTGTCCTGGGGACCATTCAGGCTTGTTCGCATTTGTGTTCCTCACGTGTGCCCCAAAGAATGAGGTGATTTGGTAAAATGCTATGCCCAAGATTACTATCCGAGTGCCGGCGGTGGGGTGGTTCAAATAGCCTCGGCTATCACCTCATTTTGTCCGGTCGTGATGGTCAAGTGGATTAAGGCGTCTTGTACATACCAGTTGCGTGGCATCTGGGAGTATGGGTTCGAGTCACTTCTGGGGTGTGAGTTTTCAGTTGCATATTGTCCTGGGGACCATTCAGGCTTGTTCGCATTTGTGTTCCTCACGTGTGCCCCAAAGAATGAGGTGATTTGGTAAAATGCTATGCCCAAGATTACTATCCGAGTGCCGGCGGTGGGGTGGTTCAAATAGCCTCGGCTATCACCTCATTTTGTCCGGTCGTGATGGTCAAGTGGATTAAGGCGTCTTGTACATACCAGTTGCGTGGCATCTGGGAGTATGGGTTCGAGTCACTTCTGGGGTGTGAGTTTTCAGTTGCATATTGTCCTGGGGACCATTCAGGCTTGTTCGCATTTGTGTTCCTCACGTGTGCCCCAAAGAATGAGGTGATTTGGTAAAATGCTATGCCCAAGATTACTATCCGAGTGCCGGCGGTGGGGTGGTTCAAATAGCCTCGGCTATCACCTCATTTTGTCCGGTCGTGATGGTCAAGTGGA